ACGAACCTGCATCTATACATTAATTACTTCATGTGTAAGCCCTTATATAACTAATGCTTTGAGCGAACACCACAGCAAAGTTGATCAATGATCTACCTAACAATGTCGGCAGGACGTTGTCAAGATGAACAGGATGTGTCCAAACACGGGGTATTGATTGGCAGACTGCATTAATGCCGTGGGAACCACGTGACTCTCTTTAAATTATTACCACACGCAGAGAAAAGTCTATCACGAGAATACTGCAAAGTATGCACTCATGCAGCACGACAACACATCGAACTCAGGTGCGCGTCGGTCGATACAATCACCGTACTGCCCACGTACATACATTCTCGTCATAACTTCATACTATTCAGAAGACAAATTACCATAAAAAGTGTCTATGCGTTACACGCAATAATGACATATTCGTACTTTTTACACAAAGGTTCAAAATATAGTTCCTCACATGATTGACATATCTGACGTCTAAATAACTTAATGCTTGTAACATACGGTTTTACACAGAACAGCCAGTACTCAGTAAATAAAATGATTAAATATGAAAAAAAAAGTTCTGGCTCTAATCACCACCGATCTTTTTTGTCCAATTATTTCATCACTGTACAGCTTCCTCTGTTGACGAATCCATTACAACTGCAACATTTGTGCGCGGTCAAATGTTTTAGAAATGAAAACAAAAAACAAAAACAAAAAAACAACAACAACATTTAACCATATTATATTCTGCGAGGTCAAATATTTTACTCAGAACTATTACATATCTGATAATATATTAAAAATTACTGAATACCGGAATTATAAATCATCATACTGTAAATGTATCAATAATTTACTCAGTTTTAATTTCTTTGTTTCCGTTAGAAAGTGAAATCTTCGAAATAGAAACCACGTAAACTTGTAAAATATAAATAACTGCTTCCCTGGCAAATTTCGGAACTTCAAAGCCAGTAAATATGCTGAAAATAGTGAAATTAAACCCTCCCTCATTCTGACAATATATATTGGACGTCCATAATGTTCGTCTCTAGCACATATGACGATAGATCCAGTGAATTGAGATTGAAAACCGGTCCATTTCTCGGCAGTTTACAACCTTGAATATTAATGTTGTTAATTTCATGCCACATATGTAGTGACTAATTGATCATTGGTAGAGATATCCTTGTCAGATTCGAGGGAAGAGAAGAAAAGTAAAAGTCGCATATAAATAAACAAAAACTCGATATGACATCACTATTACATGTACCTCGTTTACACGACAGCATTTCATCGAAGCCCAAGAGCCAGTGTGTAGGCTCGGGCCAGCAAGATTGTCTGTGTAAACGCGTTCATCTCGAGCCAAGTTCAGCTCCAAACGAAACGGGCCGTACTTCGGATGACGATCGGTCGCAAGCGTGCGCACGAGAGATAATCTGTTATTATTCGGAAAGAAGAGCAATAGTCTAGCCTGACGTGTCTCGTGAGTTGCGCCCTCCGCGGTGCTCCAAACCCAACACAGTGAGGTCTGATGACGTTCGGCCGGCGAGGGCGCTACTACGCCTACATGTCAGGCTGAGCAATAGTTCGGCTCCGATAACATTCTGCCGTAAAAAAATAGCATATAACAGTGACGAAAATAAACTACCACTTGTCATATGTTTTTAAGCAGGTATTTTGTATTTACTACTTTGTTTGTCCGAATCAAACGTTTTATGAATAATTAATCACATGACGTAATGCTTAGTGACGTCTTCTGAAACACTGCACGTGCTATTTCACCGAACCACCTAGAAAACGAGGCTAAACTTGAACCGCAGGCAAGCCACCTCTCTATCGACGTCGTCGTAGAACAGAAAAGTCGATTCATAGTTGCCCTGAGAACAGAAACAAAATAGTTGTATGTTACACGAATGTAAAAAAGAAACATTTTGAACGCCGACGTGAGCTTTGAACTTCTTTTACTGAATCAACCATAATCTGAATACATGTAACTACTTTTGTCCATTTTGGTCCAAAATTAACAGAAATTATTTAGAAACATGAAATTTATTAAAATGTTCCATCAAAATGTTGGTGGAAAACAAAATGGCGTACAGTGGATCGTGTGTCCGAAGTCCTACGAGATCTGACCACATTTGACATGGGTATTCTGGGTGGCTGGAATCAAGGCCTAGAAGGAAAGCATTTTTATATGATGGGCGAATAAATTATCGGTGTAAACATTAGCGATGACATTTAAACGTTGGATAAAAAACAAAACAAATCATGTTTTGATTAATCCGGCAATACACAATGTAGAACCAAAGACTATAGAGAAGAAGCTTCTCTATAGTCTTTAGTAGAACAAGTTAGCGACATAGCGATATAGTTACATAGCGACACAGTCTAAACCGGATATGAAATATACTTACTGTTTCCAGGACCGAAACTGTCGGAGAAAACAACTTTACTGTAAACTCTGTGTTGAATATGTGCGATGACGAGAAACACGAACATGTGGTGTTCTGATCTGATTCGCAGCCTCCACCGGTCATCCTCTCGACAAGTTCACAGATTTCATAGGAACTGAAAACAAACAGAGAAGAACACGTTAGTTGCGCCATTCAGGGATGAAGCGTTTTTGTGACGTATTGTTTTGACTTGTGGTCGTCCGTCAAAAGCCAAACAGAAATTTCTAATCGGCCCTCTTTGTAAATGGCCGCCGAGATGTCGTTCAGAACGAGAGAGCCACGTGACTTGTTTTTGCCTCCTTTCCCCTTTGTTTACTGTTCCGCTGACTTTTGTAACCATGGTCGCGAAGGCGACTGAAAATAGAACACTGATTAGGACAGAGCGTGTGATTATCTCGTTCTCAGTGACATGTCGGCGCCCATTTATGAATATCGTCTAATGAACAATTACTCATTTAGAAGAGCGCCGTCTTTAGATGGCGCTAACCCAAATTGACATATCGGTGTATTCGACTTCATTTTATGCAGAATCTAGACCTATTTTATCACGGTTACAAGTAGAACGCTTCGGGTGCTGCATCACATTTGTAACAAAATCACGCGCGACTGTGACGTATGCCTGACTGGATGTTCGATTGTTTGGTAAGGCATTTATTTAACTCGTTTAAACAAACTCTTTAATTATTTGGGTCCTGTTAAATGCAAATATGCGCAATGTAAACAGAAATTGAATTAAACAAAAAACAGTTCCACAATTTAAACCAGATATAATCGGCAAGAATATTTATCGCGAGTTACTGGAACGAATGACTCTAAACATGTCCAAATGCGTCGGAGAGGGCGCACTACCATTTACTTACCACGAACCAAAGAGGTTGTTATTACAAGGCACCTTCACATCTACAGTATTGAACATCCCAAGATAAACCGATCGGTGGAGATCGACACGTATGGAGACTGCTGGACTGGCGTGTAGAAACTGAAGGTTTACGCCCACGCGGATCTCGTCGGGAGTGGGCTGCGATATTTCGATAAATTCGATGCTCAACCCTGAAAGTGGAAAACAAAAACAGTCTGCGTAATGGCGGCGTTTGCTGTGATTGCGAGATTGGACTAAAAATAGAACTGACGTAATCACTGAACGTGTAGCGCGCAAAATTGATCAAATCAGGACAAAGTGCGCAGACGACAAATGAATGACGGACATTTCTAATCCAAAGTGCATTATATTTCGGTGATTAGTTGTGAACTACAAAGTAATTTTTTGCCTGAACAAAACTATTGTTACTTACCCACACCATTTATAAATATTTCTGTCGCTAATTTAGATTGTTTTGTTATTTGTTTGCCCGAATCGAACGAATGAGAGTGGTCTTCACGAGTATGCTGATTAAAGCGCGGTGGTCGTCGCGCAGCGCGTGTTCGAATTTCATGTAAATAAACAATGTATTTTACACGCGTTGTATACGTCGCTATGAGTCCCATATCGAAAAGGACGCGGCACGACGACTACCGCCCTTTAACATACAAGTTAGGTGTTAACAATACGAGCCCATAGAAATCCGACGTAAACTGATTACAACTTACCACCCGCATATTTTACTTCGAATCTTTGACAATATCATACGCTATTAACGCCGTACGACATGAACTGGGGACCGAGGAAATCCGACGTAAGCCGATTACAACTCAACCCCGCATATTTACCAACGAATATTTGACTATATCATACACTGGCGCCGTACGACGACAGGGGACCGAGGAAATCCGACGTAACCCGATTACAACTCAACCCAGCATATTTACCCACGAATATTTGTCTACATTATATCATACACTGATGCCGTACGAGGCTGGGGACCGAGGCAATCCGAATAAATCCGACGTAAACCGAATAAAACTTACCTCCACATGATCGCCATTTAAAATCTCTGACAATATCACAGGCAACGTGTGACAGTAAACACACAACGATCACGACCTGACACGCTACAAGTCGGCCCATCTTGTTAATGTCGTTACTGACGATATATGTAACTTCAAATAGATATGTGCTTACGATGCTGGTACTGTGAACGTGACGTAATGGGAGCAACCATTACTAGGTAGGGGCGTTTGCGGGCATCTAAATTGTTAAATAGTGGCGATAAATCTAACATTTTCACGCATTTACTAATCGGGGCACAGGTCATCAACTTATTTTGAAGTGGGCTTACTAAAAAGGGCAAAAATGAACTATTACAGGTATCAAAGCATCATAGACCTTAGAGAAGGACAGAAAACTGGGGTATTCCATTTGAGCGAATCATGATCAGACGGCCAATGACATATGAATTCTAACTCTGGGATGTATATAATTGTTATTCAGTAATACAAATAATGGATCAACTAATCACGTGACATAAAATGTGAAGGGTGACAGTTTAATTTTTTTTTTGGAGAAAAGGACACAAAATGTGTAATGCTGTTTTCCAAACTATTTAACAAAAACGGTTCGAACAAATTGCATTGTTTTATCAATTGTGTTAACAACGCGCATGGTGGTCCTTTTGTTAGTCTCAGATAATTAAATTTATATATTAAATACAGATAGTATAACTAAGCTTGCACAGTAAAAGTATTGATTTTCTGCGTAGTTTGCAACAATTTCTTCTACAGTTTAAAGGGCGGTGGTCGTCGCGCAGCGCGTGTTCGAATTTCATGTAAATAAACAATGTATTTTACACGCGTTGTGTACGTCGCTATATATGAGTCCCATATCGAACAGGACGCGGCACGACGACTACAGCCCTTTAAACAATATTTCATAAACGAATCATTAACAGTCTTCAAGTCTCGTTTAATTTGTTCACCACGTGTCGATTAAAAAATCGATTGCAATACACGCTTCAATGGTGACTCACCGTACCATGTTCGTGGGTGTTTGCCCCATTTCTTTCACAACGCCCTCTTTCAGATTTGTACGTAGAATCATGAGTGAAATCAACAAACATAAATATGACTGGAACTCGTAAAAGACCGTAGTTACAAAAACTGTTTCTTTATTATAAAGAAGGAATAACGGATCAGAATGCTAGTAAGTAAGGAAAATATACGCGGATAGTTATAGTGTTTTGATAAGTACCACCATTTTTAACACAACACAAACTGGACACTGAACTTTGACCTTTTAATACACTCAGGTGAGCTGATATAAATACACAAGACATACTTTTACGGGTAGTTTAATTCGCGTAAGAAATGCAGACCCAGTAAAACAAATAACGAAGTAAGCATTACGAGTTGTATTGCCGGCAACACCTAGTTAAAAGTTTATTAAATCAAAATTGAGTCTGGAAGTTACGGCGTTCGCGAGTGTCACCGTTTGAAACCTGACGCATTGCGCTGTTTATTGTAATTTGTCTTCATTGCAATACTCCCATCATGCATTGCTGTTCGAATTCTGATTCGTGGACGCGTTAAAGGGAAACTAAATAGAGCCTATTTTGGTGATTGTATTTATCAAGTTATGTATATTGATTATAAATTTGAAAAAAAATTAAAAAAAATGATTATCTTCAGAGTTATGATGATTTAAATATGAGAAACCATAAAC